GAAGTGTCTGGAGAGAGGGAAGTCTGGGCGTCTTTGCTTAGACTGCTGCCCCCGCGACCCGGTCCCGGATAAGCGGAAGAAAATGGATGGATGGATGGATGGATGGATCAAATAATGTGCTGCTGTATTATTTTCAAAGTAATAGGGCACAGATGATGTACACATCACTATTTTCAGTTTTAATTTTGATTTTACATATCAACTTTTTCTAATTTAGGGTTGTACTTTTTTATATTTGACGTATTTGTTCAAAAACTAAATTTCTTGTCTTCTGTCTTGTGGTCAAGGTTTTGAATCCTAAAAAGAAAAGCAAGAAGAAGAAATATGTCAATTCAGGAACGGTAAGATCTGATGTAGTGTTTCATCAGCAGCTGTCACATGTGCCAGGTCAGAGCAGTAAACAGATAGTGTTTGCCATGACCCTCCTTGTGATCATCTATCTCTGCTGTGTCTCCTCTGCTCTCTTCCTATTTTTGCTCTTTTATCTTTCACTCTTTCTCTATCTTCAAGGTGACTCTGCTGTCTTTCAAAGTGGAGTCAGAACACACATTTGTCGACTTCATCAGAGGAGGGTAAGAGCTCAGTCTGTAATATTTTATCTTCTCAGAGTGAGTCCTGCGAGACTGAGTCACACTGAAGTGAAAGTAGGCATAATATTTATACACTAATTATGCAAAAAAATGGCACTTGATATGTTACTACTAAGATATTTAGATTCCAATTATACACTGACTGTCTATGAGAAGCCATTACAGGATAGAGATGTGTCGTTCACGAACGATTTGTTCATTTTGAATGAATCTTTCCTATGACTCGAGAACATCGGGTCATCTCGGGGAGTAATTTGTTCATTTTGTGTTGAAACATCCCATGAGATTAGTACACGTTTCGAGTCCTTGGTTTCGAGTCGTTCGTTTTTGTAATGTGACATGACCGTTTTGTTGGATACAGAAATTAGTTAATTTTCAAACGTCTTTACAGTTTTTTTTTTTTACTCTTACTGTTACATGATGCATTTATTTTTATTATAAAATAGCTTTTTATTTCCTACAGACTATAATTTTGTGAATATCTGTCAATATGGTTCTTTTCCATAACACTGAAGAGTTGGTTAATGCTTTAAACTTCATCAGGGAAAATCTTTCTGTAAACTATAGAGAAGATGGCACGGCTTAGCTTAGGATGTTAGTGACAAAAGACCAAATGAATTTGACCCAAAATATCTGGAGGTGAGGTGATGAAGTAACAAACTGCATAACCTCAAGACACAGGTACGACATTACTTATAATATGACCTTGGCTGCATTACAGTTCTTTCTTATTTAAAACATGATCAATATGTGCGTAAGTAGATGGGGAATTAACATGTAACATTTTAATTACATTCTGCTGAAGTGAACGAAATGACTCAAAAAAAGACTTGTTCATTTTGCTGAACGAGATTCAAAGAACCGAATCAGTAAAATGATCCCAACTTCCCATCACTATTACAGGACTATACTAAGGTTTTTCTTGTTTTAAGACCCGGTCAGACTAGAATGTGGCACAGCAAAATTTGTCTGTGCATTTTAAATATTTGGTTCTAGAGTCTTTGTGATGTAGTAGCTACTCACAGCTGCCAAACTGGTATGAGCTGTTGTAAATCTGAGTAAAATATGCTGGGAGCAGCCCAGCTCTTTCAAAGAGACTCTTAGGTTATAATACTCCCTCCTAATGTACTGACTACATGCCAGGAGTGCCAGATCACAGACTCTAGAGTCCAGGAGGATTTGTTCTCAAAGGTAATTTAATGCACATAGGGCATAACCTACCATGCCAGAGGATTACCCCCTCTCCCTAGCGGAAGCTCCAGTGAGCAGTGCTGTTCAAGTGATTGTAATCCTCTAGATGCACTTATTTATTTTGCTTTTAGCAGTTTAATGCACTGTCATTAATTGAAAGTGACTAGACTTTACCACGCTGTGGTCAAGCAGCTCACTAGCAGGCCATTCTGAACTGAACCTCTATAGGCTAGCCTAATTTAACAGGAAGCCCAGTATTTCAAAGCACATCATAATAACTAAATCCCTGCCAAGAAAAGGAATTCAAAGTGATATATGTGTGACTGGCTACTTCGATTGGGGAGGGTTCTTACCCGAGGATTCTGAAAGAACCCCTCTCTCCCTTGGTTGAAAACTTGAAGAAGGCAGCAAGAAAAATATCAAAGTTTAAAAAAGTTTAATAAAGTTCAGAAAAAGCTAAACTGAAATACAAAAATTAAAAATGTTATAAAGCTGCAGCGGACACCCCTGCTCTGTCCAAGAGGATGCCCTGAAGCTCCACTTCCTCTTTTGTCACAGTCCTTTTTTATTTCATGTGCAGGGTGCAGCCACAATGTTCAGTCCACATGTCCTTGTCTGGTTGGTCAGTGACAGTCCATTATCTTGTTAAATGTACAGGTCATTCCACAAAAGGTAACAAAATAAAATACTTTCCTTTCATAGGATAAACCCCCATGCAGCAATCACATTTTTATTGGATAACAGAGTATAATTGTATTCTGACATGTGCATTCCTAAGTTCAATGTGTGCACTTTTCAGCTTCTACATGTGTGTGCACCTAGGGTGTGACAACAGCAAGCCTTTCTTCAAAACATGATAACAGCTACTGGTTGCCTAGGGAAGTTGGTAAAAATTAAGGCATTTCAGTTTGACAGCCAAAATGACACTACAGTTTGACAGGAAACTTTGAGGCTTGCAACAAACTTTACACTTTGAAACATGAAATCTTTAATTCATAACTGCAGTAAAAAGCAAGTAAGTATTTCAACACACTTCTAATATCATCAACCCATAAACACATGTAAATATGCAGGCCAGAAAGGGTTGGGAACTTCACATTTTTCCAGAATAACCAACAGAGCTAATTGTTATCAAGGCTACAGTTTGAATGTTTGCGGATGCAAAAACTCAGGTGTGGGAAGAGTTTGGTGAGGCTATGGAGAAGGACAACTCAGAAAGGGAAAACATGGGAGGAGAACTGCTCACTCAGACTGGGGATATTGTTGATCAGTGGAAGGAGCACTTTGAGGAACTCCTGAACCCATCTAACATGTCAGAGCCTTTCCACTCTTCATTCTCCTCAGAGCCTTCCTCGCCTCATCCTTTCTAATCTTTGCTACCTCCTGCTCTACAATATTCACCTCTTCCCCC